AACTACATGTGTTCACATTAATTATATTCTGCATAGGCTTTTGAGGCTTAATAAGATTTGATTATTTATTAGTCATCAATTTATTTTCCTCTCTCTTTGGACCAAGTCTTATTTAGTAAAAACGTGTTCCAATTTTAATAAGTTTACTGCACTCTTTGTTTTATTAATAATAATCCATACACAATAAATAGTTCTTCCTGAAAATAAGAGATGTTAAATCCGATAAATGCGAAGGCATTATAATGCCGAAGTTTTATATTTAATGTAACCAGCATGGACAATGATCAAGCAAATATTTCAACTTGCATTGCACCGCATACGATTATTCCTGTTTTATTTATCACTTAGCTGGTTTTTTAATTCGATCTTGATTTTTGATCAAAGTATTACAAATTTCTATGGCTATAGAGCAACAGCGAGATACAACATATCTGCGGGGTGAATTGCCGAGTTTTTTGGGCAATTAGTATTGATGTAAATAGTTTTTACACAAAATCAAAATTAGTTATAAATAAGTGGGAAGACGCGTCAAAAATAACACCACATTTCATCGCCATTTTATTCTGTCGTACATCCATGTTAGTTTGGCTGTTGAGTAATAGTTTAAGGGTTACCCTGTATTAAATTGTTGGATCAAGTCAATAAGAACTTAAATATAGAGTTGCAGTTTGCATTTTCTGCTTGTGGATTATCCCAATATCTATTAACTGGTAGAGATTTTCTCCCCTGACAAAAGTGAATTGACTTGTCACATTAACAAAACCATATGGTTACTTCAATTTTCCTCTCACAGCAATAATCACTAAACGATTCCTCTCATAGCAATAATCACTAAATGATTATCAGCAAAGAAAAAAAATGCAACGAATGTTAATTTTGCTTATGTTACTTTCGCGTCATCGTATTAGTGGTCTCTCATAGTGATAATCATTAAACGTGCAACACCATATGGTTACTTAAATTTTCCTCTCATAGCAATAATCACTAAACGATTGTCAGCAAAGAAAAAAATGCAACGAATGTTAATTTCCTTATGTTACTTCGCGTCATCGTATTAGTGGCCTCTCATAGCGATAATCACTAAAAAAAAAAAACGTGCAACTAGCCGATTGTCAGCCAAGAAAAAAATGCAAGCGAATGTTAGTTTTCTTATATTACTTTCGGCGTCATCTTATCAGTAGTCTAAACAAAAAAAATGCATGATTTTTTCTCACGGTTTGTTTTCTAAATATTTTGATTTAAAAACTTCTTGCAACGTAAGTACATTTGCTTGAAAGTGTCTTTTTGTTCTCCTCCGATATGATTTAATCTTACCATTACTAACATACACTTGTTTACCAATGAACTTGTGGAGAATTCATGTAAAATTTTCGTTATCTGATGGGCATTTGCATATTTTTCTGGACGCTTATAGAATCTACACAGAACCATTCCTGACTATGCACACAAAAATTATGCATCGGCTAATATACACGTGTAATTATGTGGAATTCTCTGGCAGAAAATCTTTTTTGAAATCAAGCTTGTGAAATTTTTAATAATTCATTTATGAAATTTTGATACTATTTATAATATAGAATTATCTATCATTGTCATTTGGTTATATAAGCTTCAAAAAACGCTATTCAAGAGAGTGAAATATATATATATTTATTTACTTATTTTGACTGTCAGAAGATCTTAGTCTAAATATTTGGCTTCGTATAGTGATTCAAAGAACGAATGAGGAGAAACAGAAACATTATTGATTTTCATCCCGAGAAAAAATAAAAAAATATAAATCGACGACATCCTTTACGACACACAAATGAGATGCTATTGTGATGGAATATCACGTAAACCTGTAGATTAAACAAAAACGGGGCTGGCGTCATTTAATCTTCTGTTATTTCGTGAGATTAAGAGAAAACTTTATTCTTGGGGCATTATGTTAGTCATGAAAACGAACGCCTGATATTTCTCAATATTCGATAGTAGATGTAATTGTGAAATCTGCTATTGTTCTATGATCAGTCTGCATTATTGTTTATTAATATATGCATGTAAATTTGTTTTTTGTTGAATTTAGAAATTTGTGCTCGAGTGCAACCGCGTGTAATCAATACAGGATCCATGTACATGCACTGTCTAAATTTAAAGAATTGTGGTCAGGTGATACATCGGCTCCCGCGTTGAAAATCAACAATGTCTTTATTCTTACACTACTATCATAACGAAATTGTACTCTCTTCTCGGAAGGGAAGACAGATTATAATTTTTGGTGATAAGCATAAAATTACTATTGTTGCTATTATTATTGTAAAACCAATTCAATTGATCCATGTGACATTTGACATTCAGAGCCCGACTCTTTTGTAAATTCAATTGATATTGGAGATATTTCAAGAATATTGCTGTGTAATCGGTCATGATCTTTTATTTAAAACACTGTGATAAAAACAAAATACGAGTGACAGCTTATATCTCGCTCTTTATATTAATATACTTTCTATAAATATACTGTGTAACAGATAACCACCAGGAGACGTGAGATGTATCTTTTCTAAATTAAGAAATGAAATTTCACTATATCCACTATTTTAATAAAATATTTGTAAACCAATTGCGAAATAAGTATATTTATTATATTTGAATTAATATATTTTATTTTTTTTTAATAATTATTTTAAAAGTTTGCAGTGTTTGCTTAAAGAAATTGTATCTTTTCAATTAATCAGCTATTGACTGTTTTCAGACTGTTTCTGTTGATATCAATTGTCGAAGTTTTTCTTAATGCGCATGCGTTGTTGTAAACTCAATTATTATAATCATTTCATATACACAGTGATCTAAATAAAATTTTCAGATATTTAAATTTATTATTTGTTGTTTATGTGAAGATTTAGTAAATGAATCGATTAAAATTATTTTTTTTGTTGTCTTTTTAACTTCGTGAAATTTCATAAATTCAAGAATACAAAGCAAATAGGCCATTTTTGGATGATGACATAAATTAAGATTGACTGTTGTTTGGAGGATGGACAGGGAAAAGTTCATTTGACTCTAGAAATGCGAAATTCGCGTGTTTAAGCCAAAGTTCTTTTTCGAAGTGCAATAAACAAAAAAGCTTACATGAAAAGGACCATAAAGACAAAGAATTCTTTTTACAGAGAATAATATATTGGATTTACGAATCAAAATTTATTAAAACCTGAAAGAATTAAAGTTCATTCATATTTATTACTTTAAAGAGAAAAAGAGAAACAAGCTTACATTAATAATTATTTGTTTTTTTCTTTAATTAAGTAATATTAACTGAGAAAATTTCCTCACGTGATAGAACTTGAGTTTCAATTACACTAAACGCGTAACATCCTTATGCATAAATTAAATTACTTTGGTAAAACAGTTACAAAATCTCCATTTTAAATTATTTAAGTTTATTGGCTTGCTGACGATGTAACTCGTCGACAATACTCTTTCTGTCTTTCTATGAAGTCTCAGGAGGCTCGTATGGTCTAATTACACAATTATAGTAATTTTTGAAAGACCTCAAGTTTTGAGAAAGATATCTTGAACAAGCATACTTGCCTCGTGATTGGAAAAGCATTTAATAACGCTTTGTCTCTTCCATTAAGAAACCATGCATATTTTTTGTGTTAACACTCGAGATGCAGGAGAACTTCGCATCGAAGGAATTCTGTCGCAAACAAAAACAATTGAACGGTTTTCGGCAAATGCTATGCATACTAAATATATCTCCATTAAATTGAAGTTGCAATAAAACCACTTGTTTGCTGCACGTAAAGCCAATAAACATGCATAAAATTACATGGTTTTGATTACAAAACAAAATTATTCTTTGGCAATATGTGTGTAAGTGTATGCTTCACGCAGCAATAATAAAGCATCGACGAATACCGCGGTTCAAACTTTAATTTTCGCGCCTTTTTCCAATCTAATTATGCACTTATTTGATTGCATAAATAACTAACAGAGAATTTGGATGCAATGAACTTTTAATTTAATATGCTTATTTTTTAAAAAAACCGAGATGAATTGTGTCATTTGATTTTATTGTTACCATTGATTATCAAATTATCTTGTGATTTACGTTTTCGCTTAGTATTGTCTTGTAGAGAACTTGTTTATTGCGTAGTACAATGAGCTCACTATGAGTCTTTCTAATTTATAAATTGCTTTATTCAATATAAGGCGAATAACGACAAAACAAAAGGCATCGACTTTTTGAATCTAGAATTTTTAATTGTAAAACTAACAAGATAAAAGAACAATGCTTATGAAACGAATCGTCATGCATTCTATCTCAAAAAATCAAACAGATTTTTGTATTCCAGCATGAAATTGTTTAAAATAGCAAAATTTTTATTTTTCTTACTTTTTTCTAACGTTGATATAAAAGTTATGGCTTTTCTAAAATTAGAGTTCTCTATTAAAATTCCTTTTGCATGTAGAAATGTGTTTGTTTCCTAAATGACTGGCCCATGGAAATATAACGAGAGAATTACCCGGAACAAGCATTCATTAAGAGCTAAATTCAAACAATTATTATAAAATATTTACATCAACTTAATTGAAGCTGTTCGATATTCCTTGCAGTTGTATATATTGTATATATTGTATATATCAAATTTCAAAAATATATTAAAACAAAAGTGAATTCTTTACATACAGTACTGTTTCGTAATTCTGTCCAATTTCGTTCAAAATCTGATTGTATCACTTCTTTAGGTTAATGATTACATAGAATGCGAAGGAGCCAATTCATTGGATTGGTAAAATATTCAAACTGTTGTCTCACATTCTTCTCTTTTAACTAATATGTCAATAGGAATTGTTGACTTAATTTTGAACCTAAAAATTCTTATTGAGCAACTTATAAACGCAAAAATCTCAACAAAAAATTGCATTTATTTATATCTTGGGAAGAAAGTGATCGACCTGTCTAAAAATTGAGTGGTGTTCACCTTTTCAAGAAACCGATTTTAAATTTTCAAATCATGCAGCCGATCAACGAAAAAACACTTTTTTTACGGTTAGAGTGCAATGATAATTGCATGCAACTGGTTGAGCAAAGACTTCATGTTTTGCAATAATATATGCAGTGTGTAATAATATAATATAGTACCGCTTCAAATTCCACCATTTTTGTAATACTGCGTTCTGCGGGATGCTATCTATAACGATTGTTCTTACATGTCGCGTTGCTATTGTTCTATCTTCTATAACTTTTCGTTTCGCAAAATTTAATTATCCTTCTGGGTGTTGTATCTCTTTGAAATTTGGGTAACTTCATTAAAACGACGCGATTATGAGTACATACATTTAAATCCTCGAGATTTTTAATTATATCATTATAATTGGCACGTAATTTTTTAATAGTGCGCAATTTTTTATTTTCATTAAATATGGCAAGTGTGTGAGAGGATGTTATCTACACATGCATTTGCAGCAGGAATTATCGGGTTTTTTTAAGAAGCAAAAACACAACTGTAAGAATTCTTCCATTATTTGCTCGTTATTTTTCCACTCATTGCTATTGTAATAATAGATTACATGCGCTTGTGATAGTTAGATAATTCCCGCGTTTTTTTTTATTGATATTTTTTTTTATTTAACAGTAAGCAATTTGCACAAAAGTTTTTGTTACTATTGAGAAGCTTAGATCTAGAAGATTCATTTGGAAGACGATTTAACACAAGTTATACGCGCTTACATATAGCATTGGGAATAAAAGTCTAGTCACATTTTCGTTGTTTCATTAGTAAGCGATTTAGCATTATTGTAATTAATTAATAATTTAATAGAACAAAATATTTGGTTACGTACATATGCTAATTTATTTTTTCATCTATTAAGATCTACCACATGAAACCGTGTGATATGTTGAAAGAAAAAATTTTATCACACATATGCTTTCTTTACAATAATTAGTGACGTGATATCATATTTATCATGCCATCTTGCATCATTACTTCGATGTCCATTATTAAAATAAAGATGCTGCACAATTAATTAAAATTCTCTCTTGCGCTATCAATAAACGACCAATGGTCTTTGGATTCTTGAATAAATGATCCAATGAATCCGAGCATTGTATAATAGTAGCATGAGACAAATAAAGGCAATAAAGAATTTGAAATCCGACATTTTAATAAACAGTATGTTCAGGGGTAGAGATGTCAAAATTACTGCCATATTAAAGAACGTCAGCGTCAGTTGATTTTCTCCGAATACATGCAGTAAAACAACCTCACTCCCGTTCATTTCCGTACACCAAAAAAGAATACAATGAGCCAATATATTCGTTATTTTAAAGTTAATAAAAATGATCACTGCATTCATTATTTTGATAAATTACTGTAAAGTGCGATACTGATACATCATGAATATGTAATGTACTAATATATAACTGCGATACACAACACATTACTTAACTATCACCCAAACTATACTTTATATTAATAAATTGGCTATTTAAATAAATAGAACCCTTTGATTAGATTTTTTTGTCTCCTCTTCTTTAAAGTTTTTATGTGTATGTCTGTGTGTGTGTGTGTGTGTGTGTGTTATTGGCTTTCTTTTGATGAAATCCACATCCACAATTAAAACAATCACAACAAACAACAACCATTAATTTTATTTTACATAGTCTCTCTCTCTCTCTCTTTATCATTGCTGCTGCAAAGGTTTAACAAAGGAACGCAGGTTGATATATTTTTTAAAGTTTCATTAACAAAAAAAAAAAGTTTATAACTCAGTGATTTTTTCATTGTTGTCGATTTTTTTTAATTATTTTTTATCATTATCATCATCATACTACAGTATTCAACGTCTTCACTATTGTCATTATTCATATCATGGAACTCAATAAACCACCCAATCTTTGGAAAACAACCATCGATAATTCCAACCCCAACAATTTCACCACCCCCATCAGTAATAACTCCGCCACCACCTCTCACAACACCAATATCCATCACAATAATCATATATTTCCACACGATGTACTGGTGAAAGCATTACAACAAAGTGATATACCAAATCTCGATTTTACCCTTAACTCGAATGCTGCTGCATTACAAGACATACTCGTCGCCAATAACCCTATTTCACCGACAAATCCTAAATCACCATCATTATCCATCATCTTTCCGGAATCCAATACTAACGTAGACGCCATAAGTTCGAATCCTGTGGATGGACCAGTATTTGATAACGGCGTTAAAGGACAATTTTCGTGGGCATCCGATGCGTATCATCAGGTAATTACTGCTCAAAAAAAAACTAATCGTTGACTCATTTTACGTTTAGCATTTATTCCAATAGCATACATGTATCAGTTGTTTATTCATTAGTATAGGAATAGTGATAACAATAGTGATAGTGGTATACATATATACATAGCGCAATATGTTAATCATGATTCAACAATGGTAATGAAAATCTCTTTGTCTTTCTCAAATAGACCATAAAGAAACGCAAACTTTCTGCAGCTTCTTCAGCAGCGCCGAAACCATATGACTCGAAAGTTCCAAGACCACCAAATGCATTCATCATTTATCATCGAACAAAGTCAAAAGAATTGGCGCAATACAAATCAAATAATTTACGTGTGACTTCGGATGCACGACATCCTTCAAAGACTGTCGCAGATATGTGGAAAGAAGAACCGGAACACATTAAATTACAATATCAAAGAGAAGCGGATCTTGCATTGGTGGAACATAAGAGAAAATACCCGTTCTATAAATATAAACCACAAAAAAAGGATATCAAAAATAAGGGGAAATTGAAAGATTCTAAACACTCGTCCTCAAAAGATTCGAAATCTTCATCAAAGTTATCATCAAAAGTAGATAAGTCACAAGTGGTACCGTTCGAACATCGACAACAAGCGTCTATGGAATCTGCATTCACAGTTTTTGATATGAGCCCAATAGAAATAAACAATGACTCCAGTAAAGAAGAAAAAAATGCACCAACTAATATTGATGAAACTCCAGTCACGTGCAATATCAATAATAATAATAATAATAATAATAATAATAATAATAATAATAATAATAATAATAATAATAATAATAATAAT